TTCAGAGTCTCAGATTTTGAATAGAAGCCCAGAGCTTGTATTAAAACCTTAGGGCTTACATTGAAACATTAAGAATAATCGAGACTCTGGCCGAAAACGCAAGTTTTCTTAAGTATCGCCTAGGGTGTAAACCCCGGTCAGGAGGGGAGAGGGGACAATTTCAGTACCCGCTGCCCATCTGGACGAGGCGGCCCAGGTGAACGCTTTATCATTCGGCGTTTCGGCAGTGCGCGAAGGTGGGGGGGGGAGGGGGCAGGGTCGGGCTCCGGCGGACCTCTGCTCCATGCGACTGTCTGCAGCAGTGCGTCCTGTGGGGGAGACTCCACCTGCTTGAAGAAGCAGGCGCCAAAAAGAGCCAAGATCTACTCCATTTGGGGGGGGAGGAGGGGGGGGGGGGCGAGGGCCCGCGCCGATCGGCCAAACAATGAAGAAGACAACGCTTACCAGAGGGGACAGACGAAACCTGTGTGCCGTGGTGCCCCTCCCCCTCCCCCTGGCGGCTGGGGCCAGTCAGGCCCCACCTCAGCCCCCCAGCCGCGTCCGCAGTCCAGCGCCGCTTCAAGAATTCTGCGCGGACCTTGGACATCTTACGTCTGCAGGCTTATGTTGCTCCCATCGCACTTAAGGACCTCATCCCCAAAAATAATTTCGAGCACGCCGAACAGTACCGAAACAGTGTCAAGCGGGTATCGCTTCGTGAACATCCTCCAATTTCGGTCCTTGCTTGGTGCTCGGAATTCTTTCTGGTGCTCAAGGCTACAGTAGGTTGGAACATCATAATGGTAGGCTTTCTTCTGCGACGAGCGAAGAGGACGAGGCCTCGCTCTTTTGGAGGCCTCCCCAATGGGGTTCGATCCGGTGGTGTCGGGGGATCGCGCCGCATCGCCGATGCCTCGGCGGCGTCGGCGATGCATCGGTGCCGTCTGCGTGGGAGAGCTGGCTCCACACAGGGCCACGTCGCCGATGCATTGACGATGCGGCGCGATCCTAGAGGAAGAACAACAACGGCAAAACATAAACTTGTGGCGGTCCGATCGGACCGCCAACACTTTTATGTTTATGCCGCTTCGTGTTCGTCGATATCCACCCGAAAGCACCCCACTGAGACTCGGACCCAAGCCGGGAGGCCTCGCCCATTTGTGGAGGCCCGGCGCCGCCCCGAGCCGCACCGCCGATGCATCGGCGATGCGGCGCGAGCCCTCCGACAACACCTACTGGGGAAACCAAAAGGTACCGATACCGCTACTCCCTGGACCTCTCGTGGGGCGCGTTCTGACCAGCATCTCGAGGCGAATCCAGCGGTGGCGACCAGTCCTTCCCAGGGGGCCCCAACAAGGGGGAAAACGAGGGAAGGGTAGCGGTATAGGGCACCTCTCCCTCCTGCGACCTACGGAGACTCGGCCCCTCGCTGGGAGGCCTCGCCCCTTTGGAGGCCCGACGGCCCGACGGCGCACCGCGGCGCCGCCGCCGCTGGCGGCCGCCCACGGCCGCGCCGCGACCTGCGCGAGGGAAGCCGAGCGCGATCGATCGGCCGCGGACGGTGCGCGAAGGGCTGACCGCAGGCGAGCGGAGGACGAAAAACAGCATGAGCACAAACTTCGGGAGCTCCAGAAGTTTATGTTTCTGCGGGCTTGTTGTTCTTCGAGCCAAGGGAGGGGCCCGGGCAGCGGTCGTGGCATCCCCTGGGACGCAGAAGGGCGTACTAGTGCTATGTGTCCCCCTTGGAAGCGAGCGTCCGACCCGATAATGTAATAGCACAGCGTCTTTTGCAATCATCATGTCGAGTCCCGAGCGGTATGGCCAGACAGCGCCCGCCACCGAGCAGATGCTGGACGATCTTCCGGCCCGCGCGTTGCCCCCGGGGGTGCAGACGCACGCATAGTATGAGTATGTTTGAGTGTCACCGCTCCTCTCCCGACGCAAGGTTTTGCCCCCCCCCCCCCCCCCCCCCACACCACACCACTCTCTCGGCCTCCGGGGGCCCTCGCTGGGCCCCCGGGAGCGCCAAGCAACGGCAAAGGCTGAGCAGCCGGCCCCGTGGAGGGGGTCCCGATCCGACCTCTTGGGGAGCCACGCTGCTGGGAACTGAAAGCGCGCAAACATGGATTGGCGACCCATGGATTTGGCGCGCGGTCGCCAAATCCATGGATCGGGGGAGGTGCCCTCCCCAGAATGCGGCCGGTGACGCCTCGCTCGGCGGGCAGCGGTATAACCAACGATTTCCCATGAAAACGGGACCCGTGGCTAATCCACGCCCCCTTGATCCATGTTTGCGATCGCCTGACCCTTCCCGACCTTCAGATTCTTTTGGCGGTGGACAAACCTCCCTTTAGTAAACCTCCCCTTAGTGAAAACGGCTTGGGACCGAAACCGACGGACCTGGACCCGCAAAAATGACGGCCGCGACGCCCTCTCGCAAACCGAAGACGGCCAACTCCTTAATCGACGTGTGAGGGTAGGAGGTCTCTCCACCTCCGACTGTTGAGCCCCCGGGGTCTGG